AACTCCATCAACGTCTCGAATCTCTAGGTTAGTTTCACGAAGCTAAAACCATGTCGATATGATGAATTCAGAACTTTCGATTGCTGAATTTGGTGATTCAAATGTTGAAAATTTAGGTCGGCCTAAGAGATTGCTTGTGTTTGTGAACCCGTTTGGTGGGAAGAAATCGGCGAGGAAGATATTTCTTGAGGAAGTAAAACCATTGTTTGAAGATGCTAATATTCAACTTGATATTCAAGGTTTCCAGATTTTTATTTTGTTTCTTCTGGGTTCTTTCTGGTTTCAAGAAATTATCAATTGGGTTCCTGATGATGATGATGATTGTCCAGAAACCAAGTATCAATTGCATGCCAAGGAAATGGTTAAGTCTATGGATTTATCTAAATATGATGGTATTGTTTGTGTTAGCGGCGACGGTATCCTTGTTGAGGTAAGTACTATGCTTTTTTCTGTTGTGCAAGTATCGATTTCTTCTCCATATGTCAATTTCTTTGGATTAACTTAAATTGAAAGTCATGATGCCTGTCTTTTGTGCTATTGTAAACATGATTTAAACTAAAGGAATCTAAAGAAATCATTTCTTCCACGAAGTTAGAGTAAAAACGTATTGCTTTAAATTGTTTTATTGTTGTCTTGTTGATGATACCTACAATTGGTTCCTAATTTAGTAGGTTGTAAATGGACTGCTCGAAAGAGCAGACTGGAGAACTGCCTTAAAATTGCCTATTGGAATGGTCCCTGCAGGTTTGTTCTGCTTTGCCCTTCTCTTGTCTTTTGTGTTCCATTTGAAATTTTAGATGTAAAGGTTATGCTTCAGTAAGATCGAATACAAAAATTGATATATTATGCATGAGAAACTTTAGCAAAATCCTATACTTGGTTTCTTCATGTGCACTAAAATTCTTGGTGGCAGGAAGTGGAAATGGCATGATAAAATCTTTGTTAGACCCGGTTGGGCTTCCTTGCAGTGCAACAAGTGCTACTATTTCGATAATTCGAGGTCCTGCTCCATGCCATGATACAATAGTCTATCCTAGAAAAAGGTTTTCCTTTCCCACATGTTTCAACTGACTGTTCCAATATATATGTATTGGCAGGTCGTACACGTTCTCTAGATGTGGCAACTATCTCACAAGGGACTACCAAATTCTTCAGCGTCTTGATGCTGGCTTGGGGTATGCAAATGACCTTTACCTCTTGGTTCTGCATCACTCTAGGATTTAGAAGTTAATTTGCAAACAAGATGAGTGCCTGAGATTGATGAATTATACCGATGGTTGTATTGAGATAATTTCAATTTATTTCAGGTTTAGTTGCTGATATAGACATCGAGTCAGAGAAGTTCAGATGGATGGGCAGTGCTCGCTTTGATGTCTATGTACGTCTAGTTGAAGATTTTGAGAATGTTTCTCCATTGCAAGTCTTAAGTTTGTCTTTAGTCAATTCTAGTCAGGTGTTGTCTTATTCAACTAAAGGGATATTTATTGTGTTCTATTCTCTACAACTTGTATTTGCAGGGTCTTCAGAGGATAATATGCTTAAGAGAATACAATGGACGAATTCTATTTGTGCCGGCTCCGGGGTTTGAAAGCTATGGCCAACCAGGCAGTTGCAGTCTAGATAAAGAGTCATCTGTTACCGATAAGGTACTCGGATACCAAGGACCTGATACTAAACTTGAAGATCAGGAATGGAGAGAAATCAAAGGCCCATTTGTTTCAGTATGGCTTCATAATGTTCCCTGGGGTGCTGAGAACACTCTAGCTGCTCCTGATGCAAAGGTCAGTTACACTAATATAACATTTCAAACCAAGACCAGGAACCACCATTCTTGGATTGTCTTTTCTTGCGCACCATCAAGAGGCCTTCATAGGGTTTGATTAGTTGCAAAACAAATCGTTAAACCTTTGTTTGTATATGGTCTCATGAACAGTTTTCTGATGGCTACCTGGATTTGATTGTCATGAAAGACTCCCCTAAGCTTGCTTTGCTATCACTTATGACAAAGTTGAGTGATGGAACACATGTTCGATCACCATATGTATCATATCTAAAGGTTGGTCATCTGAAACCATGGACCCATTTATCTAGTTGTAATCTTTCAATTCATGGATTAATGTCCCTTGTGAATCTGCATTTTGAGATTTGACTAAAAAGCTTACACGGTGGTTTTATTGTCGAAAAGGTGAAGGCATTCGTGCTGGAGCCGGGTGCACGTATAGACGAACCAGACAAGGAAGGAATCATAGATTCAGATGGAGAAGTATTGGCAAGAGGAAGAAGAACATATAAATGTGACCAAAAGGCTTTGATGTCTTACGAGAAGCTTCAAGTAACAGTTGATCAAGGTTTAGCCACTCTCTTCTCTCCTGAATAAATCTGGTTGACAAAAATGTCACACACGAAATGATATGAAAACAACACATTCACATCTTAATTTGTAAACTATGTCTTACCATTTGTGAGTTTTTCTTTTGGCCTTTGTAACAACACCTTTGTAATTGTGGCTATAATTTAGTTGATACGCATGATGTACATTACAGTACGGGAAATGAGAAGCAAATAGATGGTTTGTATCTTATAATAATAAAAGTAATATGTCAGTCTTCTTATATAAGAGCATGAACCTGCTTTCTGGTTACTAATTAAGTATGTCGATTGTGAGATTTTTCGAGTTTTCACTCATTAATCTCCCAATCAAGTCATTCATTCCCGTGTCTTTAGAAGTAAATTGACTAAAGCCATAACTATTTCCACGATTGCAAATCAAACGGCAGAACTGAAGGACTGAACAAACTTTTAATTTGGACCATATCATAATCATACCGACTACTTATAAATTGTTTGAGACTTTTCTTTTCTCCAACAAATACAAAATATCAAAGTTAAAAAGAGTAAATGAGAACTGAACAATGATTATTATTGATGGTTATTTTGTTTCATCTCTCCTTGAAATTATGACAAGTCATGTTATCGAACCGATCCAAAATTGACCAAAAACCGGTTTAGGGTTTAAGTGATCAAAGAAATGGATTCTCAAAAAAAAAAAAAGGATTCACACAATGATCAAAGAAGAAAGAAACGAAACCAGCAAGAAATCACTAGATTGTTATCAACACAGGTTTTCAGTTGACGAATAAGAGATAAAAGACATGGAAGAGACCTTAAAGAACGAGATTAACAGTCTGACAATACGAGCACTTGACGACGTGATTTAATTTCAAATGAAACAAAACGATAAGAAACAACTTTCCGTTACAATTATTATATGCTTATCCATAATTTAAAAGTAAACAACCAAAATCCTTTAACAATTATATCCGATTATTAGTAACCTAAAATTGCTCATATTATTTTCGTTGTCTCCAAATATAAGTCAACCTTTACATCTATCAAAACTTGCAGAGATCTTAGGTCTTATCATTGACGAAGCTAACAACTAATTTGGAGAA